AAAGAGACTATTTTTTTTAAGGTTTCTCCCATTGATGATGAATGGTGCTTGTTGTTGTCGTTGGTTGGTATCTTTAACACCTTTCTCGTCACTTCCTACATATACGATAATTTATTTAGGTCTTAATTTTTGAAGAAGTGATTACGACGAGGTCACAAAACGTCAACGTATTGATTTTCCTACTTCATTGGGATTTTGGAAGTATAAATCACTTATTACTCTTGAAAATGATCTTCCTAGCAAGATTGAAACTTTAGTGCATCATTCAAAATGTTTAATACTGTTGAGTTGACCAAATTCAACGGTCTCTATTGGCATATGGCCTTCTGCGCAAATGGCTCGATATTGCTTGTGTTTCAATTATACATTACTGATGATACGTGGCTAGTAGTGGAATCCACGACGCGCTTTTCGTGCTATTTGGGACTCGTCAGCTGAATATGCCTGCCTCCCAGTGGTCGATATTGTTCCCACTAGGACTGGAGCTCGGGACCGATCGCTTCAAAAGATGTCCACTAGACCACCGGGTTCGAGTCCTGGTGGGGACATCACCATTCGCTGGGGGCAGGTATGTACAGTTGACGAGTCTCAAGTAGCGCGAAACGTGCATCCTAGATCCCACTGCTAGCCACTAGTAGTTTACAACATGCACTGGATCTTGAGTATTAGAATAACGCGTAAAGTTATTCATGTTAATAAGCAGGATTGTAAACCGAAATGAATCACAGTCTGGGGGAAGAGTTGAAAGAGTCAAGTCTGAAAGCATAATACTTCCTACTCTCTCTCATAGAAATCTAGAGATGAAGTGGCGGTCTCTTCTAGTGTAGCCATAACTCTACTCAACCTAAATTAAATATTGCCAAAAGCACAGACTGGAACAAATCTTTGAGTTTCACAGTTACCCTAAAAGCATAAAACCGGCAGTAATAAACAAATTTCATCCTTAGAATTCTTTACAGTACTTGGAACGCATGCTAAACGTGTTGAATAGTTGAGGTCATTAAATGACCACACTAGTCTCTCTAAACCATACTCCAAACTACAACTTGGAGCATTCAAAATACAAAACCTGTATCAAATTGCCTAGCAATCTTCACAACTCTTGTATTTCAGGACATGTTGGTAAGCTATGCTTTCGCAGTATACTGATTGTTCAGACAAAGAAAGAGTGCGTATTCTAACGACATCTATCTAGTTATAAGTGGTACCTCAACAAGATTAACCCCCAACTGCAGAATATGTATAATAAAATGATTGAAAATATTTTATGGTAAGTATTTCAACTTCTTCATTTGATCGACGGGTTAGTGGATTTAATTCTGTCACGGCCCATGATAGCATTCCAGATGAACCAGGTCGAATCAATAAAAATATTTGATAATTACTTACATTTCCACTCATTTCATATGAAATAGTTTATTTGATATAGCACACAGTAATACAGTATTATTTGCCACAGTGCTCAAGTTTTACACTTGCATTTCCACTCATTTGTTATATCCTCTGACTACTGGCTTGAAAACTACACACAAACACGCAAATTTCCTACGTTTTGCTTTGAAAAATATTTTTAAAGACTTTAAGATACATTTTATTATAGAAGTAGTATTCATCATGGACTGACATCAGTTGGGGAACCATTGAAAATCTGGGAGCGCTGGACATCTGTTTCGTCCTAGTATGGGACTCCTCAGCAGTACGCAACTGATGTCAGTCCATGATGAATACTGCTTCTAAATTAAAAATCCCCATTCATCTCAAAAATGTATTTTATTACTCACTCAATACTGTTATTCATCAACTAATGTTGTAAGCAGCACATCGTTGCTCAACCGCCTCATTTTTGACATATTTCTAGCGAGAACTACTTACAAAACTGTATATAAGTAGTGTATTTAGTAAAGTAGAAAATGATTACGATTGGCTGGTGAAAATTTACTCAAAAGTGAATGAACAGTGTTGACTAGAAATACGAAGCGGAAGAATGGTGCGACTTGAGATGCAAAGAAAGAGATTTTTTGCAGATAGGAGCTCTATTGTAAGGTTCAGCATTTCTACCGTTTTCAGTCGTATTTATTTAACAAATTACATTTGATAATCTGTTGGTCTTCTCATCACAATTGGAACAACAATAACGAACGCGCATAATACAACCTTAAATTCCACAAGCATACTAACAAATAAGAAACGATAGAGATTATATGTCGACAATTCGAACTTCGTTTACTGGAGAATGAAGCCTAGTTTCAGTTCAACACTGTCTTATGACCCAAGCGGTGGCTTTGGGTGACCCTTTCGATTCGATCGTTGCTGGCCTATGTATGGGGAACCTGGAGACCACAAAAATTAAGCAAGTGTTCAGTGAGATGGAATTCTCCACATTGTTTATTAACATTTGAAGGTGGGAAACGCATGTCCTGGACAATAATGTTGGCCATCACTAAGGAGATCCCGACCGAAAGCTGCTACCATTGATGTGGTGGTCGGGCTTGCATATCACAATGACTCAATGAGCTATACTGGTGGGACGCTTGTTCCCTCGAGGTTCTACCATATCAGAAATTTCTGTTGGGTAGTGGTTAGACGAAAAGCAGTTACAATTGTGGTGTAAATTACTACACTATGATGTGGGGTGTGAGAGCGAAGCGTACTGCTGCTAGCTGGATGGGGTGTGACAGGTGATTCCCTTAGGTGATCAGCAGTGCCATGCTGCCTTCTCAGTGGAAGGGGAGAGGGATTAGAAAAGGTGGGCTCCAAAAATAACACACTCCACCGTACCCCACGGCCTACCGGGCAGGTGATGCTGGTTCATTTGTCGTTTCTTTCCGACCATCCGGCCCCAAAAATACAAAAGTTCAAAATAATCATACAAAAGAAGGCTATGTGTGACAGGCCTCAAGCAGATGTCCGATGTGCTCTGCGGTCACACAAATCTCTTTCAGGTACCTTAAGAAGAAATAGCCTTCCACGGTGTAGGCAGCCGGGAAGTGTCAACCACCCTCAAAACTTGATCAGTACTAAGTTGATCGCAACATATTAACGCTGTTAATTTCAGTAAGGATCATGAACATAATAACATAACAGAGATTGAAGAAATAGAAGACACATTCATAGTAAAGACGACCAGAGATGGAATTTATTTGAACTTCAAAAGCTTCTGTCCTCTGGGCTACAAGAAGACGTTGGTCAGAACACTATTCAACTATACCAGAGAAGTGTGCTCAATAGAAAAGTTTGCGGAAGAGTTATTCCCTGTTGAAAAATATTTGTGCGATAATGATTATCCGCAGAAAACAAAATCAAAGTAAAATATCATATACTTCTCAGTAGAGATAGACAAGTTGTATGAGAGAGTAAACAACTTGAAGATAAAGATTAGTGCAAATTTTCAAACTTTAGAAGACCTCAAAGAGTGAATATATTGTCTCGGAAACTCTTGTCAGGTAGTCTATATCTCTCAACACGACTCCGACTAATAATCATAGACTTCATCGACTCGTGCCATGTCTTGGTTTGGCCACACTCTTTCAACTTATCACTGCACATCGAGGTAAGCAATGGCTTAGCATGCACAGCACAAAAATTCATTAGTATATGCGGAAAGTACAATAAAAAAGGAATACATAACAGTAGAGAATAAGCCTATCTTTTTACAACTTCCCTTTAAGAGTGATGAAACTGCCGTCAAGATCAAATGCTACAACAAATAGAAGGTAACCGGCCAGCAAGTTGATTTGTTTACATCAGAACAATTGTTCGATGAGGTAATCGGAAGTAGACAGATTTCTAATTTTATGTTACTTTCAAATAAATCTACCAATTTACACGTACATACCGAAGGGAGGGGGGGGGTCCAAATGCACGCTCCAACTTGCCACACCTAATATCAGCACACCGAGTAAAAAAGCAATAAAATAGAAAATGAAGGAAAGAAAAACCGGTCAAAGAAAGTAGTAAAAGAAAGGAGGGAGAAATGAGATGATAAGATTAAGTATAACAGTTAGGATGAGGATAACGTATTCATACACCTGTGCCATTGACATCCATTCTAAGCCATATCACCTACAGACCCCAACCACCCAATCTGCCTCGCCCCACATGGCTCAAACCAACAGTCAACGACTTCATATATTGATACCATGTTTTAGCCTGGCCATCTCGAGTTTTTTTCCAGCGATTAAACACCTGAAGTCTTCTCATGTCTTTTACCTTTAACGGCCGTGTTTCACAGCCATACGGTAGAACAGACCGGACTGCTGTGCAGTACACGCGACCCTTAATAGATAATCGAATATCACGCCGGTGCCACAGGTGGCGTAAGTTGGTGAAAGCCAATCAAGATTTTTGAATTCGTACAGATTTCATCGGCCACTGAGCCACCAGGGCAGGGCTGATCCTACCTCCCAAGTAAGCGAAGTGGTCGAAACACTCAACCACTTCACTCTCTATTGTTAGTCAGGGTACCGTCGAAGACCAGTTACTGGAGCAACAATTTACACTTGGGTGTCGAGAAACGCAGCGACATCATACTATATACTAATAATGTGCGTCTTTCTTCCAAGTAGTACACAGCATACTACTTGTAATTTTATGCAGTATAGTGACCAGAAAATACAGCATTCCACGATATTTATTTTCAGAGGTAAAGAATATTCCAGAAACAAAAATACAATACAAGAGAAAGACAGAGAGAAGAAACGGAGAACAAATAGAGTAGGCTGTTGAAAGAAAACAAAAATTAGAAACCCCACAAAAGCCGAAAACCTCAAACAAAGTCATAAGGCAATATAATCACAGCAATGCAGATGGAAAAAAAATGGCATTTCACAAAGGCGAATTCATAATAAAAAACAAAATTATCCAGGGGGATGAAAAGGAACTTTTTCTCATACTGTTAACGACTTGTTCTCTTTCATATATATATATATATATATATATATATATATATATATATATATATATATATATATATATATATATATATATATATAGCATATTGATCATTTACAGTCATTTATCTCACTCGCTGACAAGTTATGAACAGGATCCTTTCCATTATCAGATGAAGTAGATGATTGAATACCTTTCTCGTTAACTGGATAACAATTTCCATCAAGAGATAATTTCTTCAACTGTCGATCAACATTTGATAATGAAGAGTATTTAGACTTATCTGATATCTGTTTGAAAATAAACAACAATAGATAACACAGTATACAGGGAAACATAGAAAATTAGAAAATGAATGCATATACAAGACAAATATGCAAGAGGGAATGACTTCGTATGCAGATCGCATTATCAACAAAACGAGACAGGCTAAATACCTTCTAGTGGATATATGCATTTTCGATAAGCTGTGAATTTTAAATCATCAGACAATGTATTCATTACAGCCGTAAAGTGAATGGGATAATTCCGCAACAAGTAGATAATCTAATGACAGTGATGACGGTAGAAAATCTGAAGCCTCTCTATGTCCCCCATCTTCATTAGCTAGCTATATATCATAGCTACACATTACAGTAGAGTGAAACACTGCGAGCCTCCTTTATCCGCGTAAAGACTTCGTTGGTCACCGACCACCATGGCTGATGCAATCTCGGAGATAAATGAAGTGTTCAACGCACTTAACCAATTCACTTCTTACTGTAAGCCAGCGTACCTCTGAAGACCGGTCCAAGACCAACGATTTGCATTTAAGTAGTGAGAAACATACTTCAAGTATTCTCAAGCTGCCTAGAAGACTCAAATCTCCATCCAACATGACTATATTATCTGTGTCCCCTAGGTCAAATTAATAATTCTTTTTATAAAGTCATACGAAAAGAGAGATCTCCGTAAGCACGTCTATGACTGAATTTTATAACAATGGAAAGCTGGTGTCCTTCAGACAAGATAAACGTGGAACCTCACACACACACAAGTGAATCGGTTTAAGTAGCCACACTTAACACCAGCAAGTGTATACAATAAATGGATATAAAAAGGCTGATATCAAAGGAAACAAAGACGTAAGGGAGGAAAATGAATTCGAAAATGAAGATTACTGAAAAGATTTGGACTCTCGAAGATGTCAGAGTGAATACACCTGCTCTATTGTAACCTATTCTCAGTCATGCCACCAAACGTATAACAAATATTGACTCATGTGGTCACGGGGACACCCATTCAGGTAGCTTATACCTCTCTACACGACTCAAACCAACAATCAGAGACTTCTTCGATTGATGCTACGTTTTGGTTTGATAATCCTTAGCCTTCTGCTAGCCTAACCCCTAGAATTGCGTGCAGAGATAGGGAGTGCCTTTTTATGCGCAACACAAGTTCAAGCCACTTGAGTCGATAAATGTTCACAACCTCACCAACTTACTTGCTTAGTACCCTTTGCCTCAGTTCGGCATTTAGAAAGAAGATTGGTTGAGTGAGCGAAGAAATAGATCCGATTGTCTATTAAAAGTCGAGTGTATTGTGCTGCAGTCCGCTCTGTTCTACTCTAGGGCTGCGAAAAAACATAGAGATTAAAGGTTGAAGACATGAGAAGGCTGCTGGTATTTGACCAACGCTTCCTTCGTAGCATAGGTTGTATTTCGTGGTGTTACTACGTGAGTAACGCAGAAGTCAGGTGTAGAGTTTTAGGCAGGAGAGGTAAGACGGTTGATACCGTTGTGAACAGAGAGACGGCAGCGCCGGTTGTGGTGAACACCCTGAGCAAGTGCACTGACAAGTAGACCCATACACTTCCCAATGCAGCCAGCACAAGATAAGCGCACCACACATACCCACCAAAAAGGCGGATACCTGCTGTTGAACGGACACTGAGAGGCGGCCAGTAAGCCCAAGCGCAAATCGTACTCGTCAGCTGAATTTCTAAGCGCGCAATTTAACCCCACCCATTTACCTCTGAGAGGTTTCACGCACTGTTTACTCTCTCTTTAAAGTACTTTATAACTTTCCCTCACAGGATTTATTTGCTATCAGACTCATCCCAGATTTTAGCCTTGGATGGAGTTTACCACCCACTTTGGGCTGGATTCTCAAAAAACCGGACTCCAAGGTTAGTACTGAGCGGAACTGTCATCCTTGATCTCTACGCCCACGGGCCTTTCACCCCCTCTATAGGCCAGAATGGTAAGCCGTACTCACTGCTAGACTTAGGGCATAGCAGTTATGCTAGGAAACAAACTAAATACCATATTGCCTATAGGTCAAAAAATCACAGGCTTCGGTGATAAGTTTATGATGAACGCACAATTCGCTTTCAACAATGGACTCAACAGACAGTTTGATGGTGTAGCTGTAGGGTCACCCTGTAACCCACTCTTAGCAGATTTTTTCTGACAAAAATAAAGAATGATCCGTTGGATGAAGCTATTAGCTGGTTAGAATTATATTGTCGTTACATGGACGAGACTGATAAGAGTACTGTTCTCAATAAGTTCAGTAGTGTTCATCCGGCAATCGACTTCATAATGGAAGAGGAGAAAAATGACAGTATCCTATTTCTTGATGTTCTATTGGTAAGAAGGTTAGATGGAACTCTGGAACGAAGTGTATATAGAAAACCGAAATCGATGGGTCAATACAAGCACATCTTTAGTGCCGCACCCCTCCAATGCCTGGTACACCGCGCCACAGCTATTTGCTCAGATGATGCCACCGAGGAACAGTTCGCCACCATATGTGACCTGCTTAGTAGGAATGGCTATCCAGCCAAGTTTGTAACTAAGCATATGTTACGAAGGTTAGGACAACAGTGCTAACAGTTCCGAAGAAGAAAATCCTCTCGAAGCTGACATTGCCCGTGACACAATGGACAAAAAGAGTCTTGCATAAAGCCTTCCCAACCACTAAATTATGTCCCATCTTCTACAATTGCTCAATCCTAGGTGTAAGAAATAAAAACAAACTGCCTGATTCTGCTCCTGTAGAGCTAGTTACATTGGGTGTAAAATGAGACAGTTCCATCATCAAATTTCTGGGCATCGCCCATCATGCTTGAGCAAGGGACAAATTAGAACAACAAACAGCTTCATACTTGCATATCAAGTGGATACTGGGAAAGCTTTCATGTACATTAAAGGTGGAAGACATGAGAAGGCTGGCTGGAGGTGTTTGACCACCATTGCCTTACTGGTATAGACCGTATTCCGTGGTATCACCACATGAGTAATGCAGAAGTCAGACATGCAGTTTTAGGGGGAACAGGTAAATCAGTTGACACGCACGTGAACTTTTATCGACTGAAATGGTTGTGACACGTATTGCGTATGCCTAGTTTCTGATTGCCTCGTCACACAATGTTGACCAAAGTAGGTTCAAGCTGGAAAAAGGCCCGAGGTGGCCAGACTAAAACGTGACATCAATGTATGAAGTCTCCGACTGTTGGTTTGAGCCATGTGGGGCAATACTCACTAACCGGTTAGGGTCAGCAGGGCAAGGGAAACCAGTGGTTGGAGACTGACTCTAGGTGATCACATGCCTCAGAACAGATGTCAGTGGCGCAGATGCAAAAGATGCAAAAGTCGTCCTTCTCTTAACGCGATGCCGAATCTCATCATTTTCTCGTTCTTCCTTTATTTATTTCTTTCAGAAATTTACATTTCTGTTGACTGGACTTTCTTCTTTCATCTTCGACTTCACTGCCTTTTTACTTGATGTACCAGTATGAGTTGTGGCAACTCAAACCGTACTACCTGATCGGACAGTATTACCTGATCCTATGTTGATATTGATGATTTCAAAATTTTCCATCACATCCCAGCTAATTTACCACATGGATTACGGCACTCGCTTACTTCACATATCAGAGGTGATTGCAATCCATCCACCTTTACAAACCTAACCTTTGTATTCAAAAGAAGTTTGTTAGACCACTTTCATTACTGTGGCCGTTAACATGATGTAACTTCAAGTATTACTTTGTACACCTCTTCCCTCCCCCCCTTCTTGTTTCTATAATATTCATTTGTCTTATTATTATTACGTAATCATTTCTTGTTTATGACTGAACACTCATCAGAAATCACGCCATTTACTAAAGAATAACCTACTTCATATTACCAATTTTAATTACTCTATTGATTATTTGCATTGTAATTTCTAAAACTTATCATCATCTTTATGACTTCGTTAAAATCTGCATGATTACTGTTCACCAACCCCTCCCTCCCACTTGATTGGAATTTTGATAAAATTGTAAACCTACATTATTAGTGTAGAGACCTTATTTAAAAGAAATATACTTCTTGGCTTAATCAGTCTTTCCGCTAAATGTCTAAATGGGAATATTTAATGTACAGAAATCAAAAGACTGAGAATCAGGGAGCGACCTAAGTCTTTGTAATAACTGGCGCAGAATCATGCTGCTGTCACCCATGCAAGCAAAATATTATGCCACATCAACCTGGACAGACTAAAGGATGAGCTGGATTCGAAATTACGACCAGAACAGGCTGGCTCCAGGAAGAACAAATAATGTGCGGATCAAATTGCAACGCTACCCTACATATAATCATAGGACAGAGTATAGAATGGCAGTCAACTCAACTTTACTTCAACTTCATCGACTTGAAAGGGCCTTTGACAGCGTCGACCGACAAGTAATTTGGCAGGCAGCTGCTTCAACACCACGGTTTCAGTGCTACAAACCTTAATCAACCTCATTCAACAACTACATGAAGACGCCACATACCAAGTGATTAACAATGGGAAGGTGAGTAACGCCTTTTGAGTGAAGACAGGAGTAAGACAAGGCTGCCACCTACTATCACCGATCATCTTCCCGCTTGTGGTCGACTGGATCATGCAACAAACAGTGAGGAGTGAGAAGAGGGGAATACACTATTTGACCGATGAGAAGACCGCAGAATATTTGGATTTTGCCGATGATAATTCATGTCTAATATCGTGTTGCACAAACTCGAAGATCTACAGGCAAAAACCAACAAGTTGACAGGAAAGGCTGGGCAGCGAAGACCGAACTTCAAGCGAATGTAGAGAAGACGGAGGTGATGGAAGATACCCAACCAACAACACCAGCAACAACAAGCACTAATCACCCACCATCAATGCGACAAATCTACAGCAAGTTGTCTCTTTCACCTACCTTCCTAGGCAGTATCATTTCAATCACAGGCAGCGGCACAAGCACACACAAGCATGTCAAAACCACGATCGGAAAGACAGCAAGACAGGCTTTCACTTATCTGAAATCAGTGTGCAAATCTACTGCACTGCACTCAGCACAAAGAACATCGAGATTTTCAACACCAATCCACTCAAGTCAGTACTGCTATGCGATGGTTCAGAAACTCGGTGCGTCACGAAAAGTACTTCCAACAAACTACACACATACATCACATCAACAGCTGCCGCCTACGCTCACTCGTTACTGAAGATCAGATCAGATCAGATCAGATGGCCAGAATGATAAGAATGAGCAACAAGGAACTCTGGCTGGCAACGAATCAACCAACCAAGAACCTATCATCCAAGAAATATGCAGGAGGAAGTGGAATTGGAGATGGATTGGATTGGATTGGGCATGCACTGAGAAGGCCGACTGGTGACAGCATGCGCCAGGCCAAACCCTCGAGTGGAATCCAGAGGGGGAACGACGAGTTGGTCATCCGAGGTGAGGGTGATATGGAGATCATGTGAGGAAGAAATGAAAGCTTGTGGGCAGTCGTGGCACCGGGTTTTGAAGACTGCAGAGAAGAGAGTGTAATAGAGACGCGCTACTGACGCCCTATGTTCCACTAGGAACCCAAGGGAAAATAATAATAATTATATATATATATATATATATATATATATATGATGGATCTATTCAACTTACTTTAGGCGATGTTGTTCTGGAACTTTCAGAGTTGACACCTGCTCCGAGTCTTGGCCATTCTATTTCATCCACAATTAATCCAACTGAATTGATATTTGGATGAGATAATTTTTGAGTGTTGAATTGTATATCTTGAGAAGTATGATTTTTGTTCTGGTCAGCTACTACCATTCTATTACTACCATTACTACTACTATCATTACTAATGTTACTACAACTCCTACTGAAAGTAACTGCAACAATCCCACTATGAGATGAAGAAAGAGCAGTAAGAGAAGGAACAATATTGTCAACATTATCCTCAGATTTAACTGCTTTCTTTTCAGATTCATCAACGTTCACATAATGAGAATTAGGCATACCATATGTGTTATATTCCTTAGCAATTTTATCATTGTTGTTCAAATTAATAACAACAGCCAGAGGATTACTTCGAGACATATTCTCATGAATGTCAGTAGTGATGACATTGTTAGTAACATCTCCATTTGTGTTTGATGATTGAGTAATTTGTTTTTGGCTGAGATTATTATGTTTATGAGAATAACGTCTTTTTGATAAATTGACTGTAGGTTGTCTAAATGAATCTGAAAAATTTGAGTATTTATTACTACTATGATCATTTTCATCTAATTGACAACTGTTGACTTGTTCTTTCATTGACGATTTTACAGGATATTTGTGTAACTTTCGGTCATATTCCTCTGTACATATATTACTATTATTATGATTTGTTTTATTAATGGCAGTAGTAGTGTTATCATTGTTCACCTTACCATTAGATTTAACAACAACAGTAGAATTTTTGTTTAATGCAAAAGTTTGTTTATCTTCAGAACATATGGAGTATGTACTCAACAGATTGTTTCTTGTAGTTGACACTTCTTTATGAAAATTTATCTGATCCTCACACTGTTGCTGTGCATAAATCATCAGTGGTGGTACATCATTCATAATAATGTGAGATGATATCATATTGTCACATAGTTGATATTCATGCATCTGATACTGTTGTTGACTGTTGGCAGTGATTGGAACAGCAGTAGTAGCTGCTGCAGCGGCCGCTGCTGTTACAGTATAATCATATTGTGGTTGTTGAATAGAATAGTGTTGAGATGACAAATCTGAATAAGTTACAGGCCAATAGTTTACTGTTAATGGTCCAAATGATAGACCAAGTGTTGATGACACCGGTTGACCATGGTTCTGTTGACAAGTTGTTCCAAAATAACTACTGAAACCACACTGACTAACGCCTCCATCATTACCATCATCGATATAACTATTATGCAAATACATTGCACCAGTAAGATCTGATGTTGTGCCACCACAAGTTGAGGCAAATGCAATAGGATGATTCGGTTGTTGAGGATTCCGATACATTGGAAATCCTCCATTCATACTAGGCGCTAACCGACTGGTCGGGACCACAACAACTGGAGGTTGCTGTCGGTCTCGATTACAATGATGCGGTACAAATGACTGACCATTCTGTGATGCTGGAGTATGATAATACAATGCTGATGAGCATCGATTACTGCTTTTCTCATTACTATTACTGACCATATTCACCGGCCCATAGTTACTAATCGCATAAACGGGCTTCATTTTGGATGAAAGATTAATATCTGACTTCTCATTACAAACCGTAGGCCAAATAAGAGGACGAGTGTCTGTAGGAAATAAGATGCAATTCATAATAACCGTAAAAAAAGATTTCTTGTTAAAAATAAACGACAGAAATAACTTAAAACGCGATTTAAAATCAGTCATAGTGATCCGACTGCGCCATCTTATTTCAGTCAACAATATTCTCCATCCTCCGTTATGACAACGTCACCTTTTTGTTTTCATGTAAACGGTGATTACTTGGAAAGATCGACAAAATTCATTCAGTTTCGTCTTGATTAAATGTCCGTACATCTTTTGGTGTATCATCGCTTCCACAACAGTCAAGCATCAAGATAAACTTTAAAAACATGAGCCTATACTATGGTTCATTGGTTTTTTATGGATAACTTTCAACCAGGAGTTCGAAAACCGCTCCACTTACTGAGGTCTGAGCAGCCCTTAAACACCTTCATCGACTGAAATGGTTGGCTCCGACATGTGTTACATATGCTTAGTCACCAACTGTCTCGTCACACAATGTTGATCGAAGTAGGTTCATGCTGGAAAAAGTCTCTCGGTTCTCGGACAGATTAAAACAATGTATGCATCAATGTATGAAGTCTCTGATTGTTGGTTTGAGTCATAGTGGGCGATGTGGACTGGGTTGTTGGATTCCGTGGGACAAGAGAAATCAGTGGTGGTTGGAGACTGACTCTAGTTGATCATATGGCTGAGAATCGATGTGAGTGGCGAAGATGTATACACATTAACCCCATTTTAACGATGCTATACTAAATCTCACTATTTTGGTCATTCTTCCTTTCTCTCTTTTCCTACTTAATATTTCTTTTGACTGAACTTTCTTTTCTTCTTCATATTCGACTTCACTGCCTTTTTACTTGGTCCGGTGATATGAGCTGTGTCAACTCGGAGGGTTACGCAGTAGTGGCTGGTCCTATGTTGATATTGATGACGATGAATGTCCACAAAGTTGCTAACAGCATTTCGTATTTTCGCATGCATTCAACAAGGCCCAAACCAATTTTTAAAGAATTATTGCATCCCTGAAGTTACCCACCTCACAGAAATCAAGCCATTTCTCCAGATTAGGCTAGTACCTATTGGATAACTGGTTTCATTCGCATTTTTCCTAACAATATTTCAGCAGTCTGGTAAGACGTTAAAAACCATTAGCCTGAATAGTTTATTCAACGAAAAGATAAGCGTGATAAACACAAGTAACACTTAAGCATTGCGCAACTATCTACCGACTGGAGAACACATCATCCCAATTTTATAGATATTGTACTGCTTGTCTACACCTCTGTAATTGGATTTTTTGCCTTCTAAAAAGTAAACCGATTTCATGTTGTCTGGTTCCGAGGGTTGACTACTATTTACCAATCATTTTGTAATGTAATTATCTCCAAGGTAGGTCTCAGTAGAAGCATAATGGCACACTTCGATTGATGCCTCCAAGCAACGGATATCAATGGCTAATCTAATCAAGCTGTAAACAATATGTAAACTTCAACATTGAAACATTACTGGTCATTTTCCAAGATATTATACACAAACACTTCAGTTAGTCTTCAGTAAGAAGTGGTTACAATCTGACATCAGGTTAGGAGTTAAACATCAACACAGCTTATCACCATTCCATTCAAATGGTTAGAGTACCTCGGTACAATCAATCGATTAATGATATTACACTGGTGTAAATGATGACAAAAACCACAATGATAATTTATCATGTTTTCTTTTTTTTGTGCTAAAAACTTTTCCACTGAACAATTTTTAACAGTTAAAGAGAAATAGATGTGAGAACATGAAAAGTAGAGTTAAAAATATGATTAAGTATTTAGGCAGGCACACACACATATACATGGACATACCGGAAGCAAAACAGTACTGATAATCTTGTAAGCTTGTTAAACTTACACAACTACTTTGAGTATAATACAGGTTATTCATCAAATTTCCCAGTTGAGTAACACTGTGGAGATAACAACACATCATTTGAAGGTATGAGATTTTTTATATTAAGCGAACCCACAATAAGTACTCAGAGTGAGAGAGAAAGAGAGAAGTATTCGAAGGTTGTTTTCGACAATATCTGCATTTTGCTTCTTAGGTTTCTCTCTAGTCGCCTTTCTTAGTCCCTTTTGCATCCTCTTTAATATTCCAAATTCCTTTTCTCCCCGAAAAAACACATTCTACTCAACTGCCAACTTTTATCACCTCTCCAAGACGATATCATATCATGTACTACTTAAATACAGTCGAATAAGTAGCATACACCGCCGAAACTATTACACAAAATGAGGGATAAAGGTAATATACGTACAGCTTCCCAAGTTTGTATTAATATAAACGAAGAGAAACGGGAAAAAAATACAACTTACACAACTAAAGAAATACAAACGTATACATACGCTTTTCGCTAGTGCGATTGTTAAAACACAGCACCGTAGTTATGTGTTATTTCACCCGTTAGTCTATGGATCTTGATAAGTGGCTACTATTTGAAAGCTGTGTTTGTTACATAACTGTTTTCAAAATAGGGTTAATCAATAGTGTTTTGTACTACTCAACACTATGAGGGATAAACTTGGAGCTGCATAGTAGGAACACACATTGTAATTAAGTAGTCAGATAACTCACTCAGCCAATGTCTACCAATAATAGATGAGTAAAAACTCCCATTTTCAAGAATATACACAAGTGGAACCTTCGCACAAAAGTGGGTCGCTTCAATTTGCCACACTTCTCAGCAGCAGTACATAAGTAAGAAGTCGATATAAAGAATTGATACCCAAGTAGACAAAAGTGTGTGAGAAATGAAACGATAAATGTATAACGGTTAGCGACGGGACTGAAGACATTGAAGAGATAAAGACTATTTAAGGATTTCCAACCCCAACTAAATAGACTACACCTTCTCATACAGTAAGAGTAACAATAAGAAACTTCATGCGCTAGTGACACGTCTTAATCTGGCTAACCTTAGCCTTCTTTCAACCTAATCCAGTATACCTTATCATTACACGTCAAGGTAGGCAATAGTTCGGTATTCCCAACGCTAATAAACTCATCAGCTGACTTGCCTTTCTTGCCTAATATCCTTCGCTTAATCACAATATTACTCACATAGTGTTTTCACCTTAATTGAACAATGCTCCAAAGAGGATATCTGTGGTCAAAACCTGTAACTTTTTCATTCCTTCTACATGAGAACAGAGCGAACTGTTGCACATCATACTCTTTGTTTAAAAAGTAGTCGTTTTTTTAACAGCACAGAACAGAAAGAGAAACCAAGCTTGGATTTTCTGGAAACAATTTCTGTAGTCTATGACTAAGGGAAAATAACGCTTTAAACAGTGTAGTTGCTTGGCATCTGATACATAGTACACAGCAGGCACACGTCTCCAATTCTCTCACGATAATAAACAAACAAGTTTACCTCAATTCATCTGATGATCGCTGAGACTATAGTCATCTAACAAACACCTTGCACCTGATTTATGTATTAAAACAAAAGCTGTAGTCAAGCTTCATCAACCTTTGGTAACCTATTCTTGGATGCAATTTACTGATTTCATCTCTCATTAAATTTACATGTTTATTATTCCGCTTTCGTCTAGTTACCTCATCTCCTGTTGAGTTGAACATCCTAATGTCGACTAATTTTTTAACTAGCCAACCACTGACAGACTGCTTGCATGGATAAGAGAGTTCCTCGTTGGTAGGAGACAAAGAATAAGGATCAATTCTCAACTCTACACACTTGGAGGTTGGTAGAGAGTGGAGTGCCGCAAGGCAAAGTCCTCAGCTACTTCTCCTTTACGTAAATGAGCTGCCAAATATCACGAAATCTTCTAAGTTCTCTACCCTGATGACAGAAAAATCTGGCTGGATGACGATATACGTACGCTTCAGGCAGACCTGAACAGCTTGTTTACCTGGTCACAAAAGTGGTTGATGCTTATCAACGCAAGTAAATGTGTGAGCGTGAACTTGGGGCATACACATGGCAACACCTACGATATTCATGAGACTCATCTATCGTCACTACTGATCCACAATGACCAAAACGTCACACTGAGTTATAACTTAAAAACCACGTCACACTGTCAGAGTTTTAGGACACTTTGGGCATTACGCAGAACGTTTACGAAAATAAGTGGTGACATGCTCACCATCTTATACACATCCTTAGTTAGGTCTAAATTAGAAAAATGTACACAAGCGGCAAATCATTTTCTGAAAAGTGACCCAGACCTTCTGGAAAGGGTTCAGAGGTCAGCTACTCGTACGATCCCTGCGATAGCTAGCCTAACCTATGAAGATCGATTTAAGGAGCTGAGCCTCTTCACTTTGTCCTAGAGCAGACAGAGGGGAGACCTAATCATGTTAAACAGGATTCTAAGAAATGACTTCAGATGTGATCTATCTTCTTTTTTACTATCCAATAGGTCCGAACACCACAGAGGACATAGTAAGAGGCTACAAAAGCAAAGAACGAACATAGTCTCCACAGAGTACTGGTTCTCGCATCGAGTAATCAACTCTTGGGACCGACTTTCAGAAGGATTGGTGTCCGCATCATCAATTTACTCGTTCGAAAAAGCAATGGACAAGCACGCAGAAATAAACTGGAAAAGGAATATTTTAGGCTCACAGCCTTATGTTGTCAAACAACAAATCTGAATCTGAGTTTTAACTTATAGTACTTGTATATTTTCGCATTATATATTTATCAAACGACTTGCTTACACAATGTGATATTTCAAGTCTTTGAGTATTTTAGTAGCTGCCCTTGTTTTTTCCATGAAGAAACAATTCGTTACACTTTACCAGACTACCCACCGATATAATTCACCGCTTCATTATAGACAAACAAAATCAACATAGAACTTGATATTATCAAATAACCATCCAAGTTGTCGCACCTCATACCAGCATATCAAATAAGAGTGAACTAAGATAGAAGATAAACAAACAAAGTAGGAAGTAGCCTACAGCAATAGAGAGTCATCTCAAAAGAGTACAATGAGGTATG